AATCTACTTAGAGGCATATAAGAGTGCATGGGGACTTAGAAACCTAGGAATTCTATTAACACCTATAGGCTTTGTACAAAGGATATTAGAAAACTACTAAGCTAGCTATAAAAGAGATGTGACAGCGCGTACCGCATCACATGCTCTGCGGCCTCAGCTCCCTTGCTTGCGCGACGAGTAGTGCCTTAGCAGGGAGCACATGTATATTTAAACTCGCAGAGCAGCTCCTCTGCTCCTTAGTTTAATCTAGTTAGGTTACACCACCTCTTGCTTGTAGCTTGAGCATGCCGATCGTGACAAGAGAGATGCAACTAAACACTTAGAGAAATAGAAGTATAGTAGAGGCTAGAGTAGAGTTAGAGTAGATACAAGAAACCTTTAGGTATTAGTTTATTAAGCAACCTAAGATAAAACAATTTATGTAAATTATTACACTACTTTTCTCTCTACAGACTAATAGTCTCTATTAGTAGTATTTTAAAGTAGTAGTTAAGCTAATTTAAATAAGATAATAAATAAATAACTTTTACTTCCTATACTTTATTATCTAGTAAGTATAAGGCTAAGATAGCGCTTACGTGCGACGGGTATACCTGTTGCGCGTAAGCTATCTTAGTTTTATTGTAAGTTTATAAGAGTTTAATTATTTCTTCTACGTTTCTAAACTAAAATTAATTTAAATTAGCAAGGTATCTAAGCTCTAAGTATTCTTTTACAATGCTAGCAATGTCTTCTAAACTAAACGCTATGCGTGCACGCCTACTTTAATAGTAATTTGTATTAATGTTGCGCTTATTTATAATTAAGGCTTACTATTATCTAAATGTTAGTTCTTTACTATCTATAAAGTTATTATTCTTAGGCGTGCGTTTAGTAAAGTAAAATTAAGGTATTATTAAAGGTGCTTAAAAAGTCTCTTACTATAAAGATAGAATAGTAGATAGCATAGATATTACTAAGAGCAAGGTTTTTAAGAAAGATAGAAGTGTATTGTAAAAGAATCAAATCGCTGCCAAGCCTCGCTTGTTAGAATTCATGCTTATATACAAAGCACAGGTCATGTAAACTCTAAACAGGTTAGGTGAGGCTATACTAGCCTGTTCTAGAACATCTAACTTTATACACTACTTATTTATAAAAGTAACTTTTTTTTATGCTAACTTTTTTAATTTACTAACTTTTTAACTTTTAGAAAGTAGTTTAGACGCTGCTATAGTAAAACCTTTAGCTAATAGTAAGCAGCTAGTGCTAATTCTTAAACATGTAGATGCTCTAGCTATAGCTTGTAAAGTAGAAAATGTTTACTAAAAGCTTTTTTAAACTTTTAGAAATTAGTTTTATTATCTTTTAATTAAAAAGAATATACGTCTTTAAAATCTAACTAAAATAATAGATATTTAGGCATATATATAGGTAAGTTGTTGCTTTATAAAAGTTCTTATATATTCAGTGAGGCGAAAACAACGCGACGTGAATGCCAAGACATTGTACAGATTAACGCACACAATAGATATACCGGTCCTCATTCCCTGGCTCTTGGTTCATGGTGGCGCTTTTGTTCAAGGTCGAACTGGCGAGGAACATCGGGTTGCGCACAAGAGAGTAACGATTCGCATGAATCGTTCCATTCAAAGTTACCTGACGAATATATATCCGAAGGTTCCGCGTATCTACCCCGACCCTGCCCTGCCCCCTGCGCTACCCCTATCTCCAAGTATTTAGCTGCACCTCCCCCCTTAGCTAGCTTAGTAGTTTTCTAATATCCTTTTGTACAAGGCCTATAGGTGTCAATAGAATTCCCAGGTTTCTGAGTCCCCACGCACTCCCATATGCCTCTGAGTGGATTTACACCGCATTCGGACCTATTGTCTTGCCTGCGCCGTTACAAAGTGGAGATCATGGCAGGGTGAACAGATGAGTCTACTTATCTAAGACATTAGCTTGTCGATTAGTTAAAGTCTTGCAGCATTTCGGATTGCTCACCGACGTTTAAAGAGGCCTGAAACTTTCCAAATATGCATTTTTTATCTTTGCTCTTGAATCTGCAAAGGCGTTGATGCTAAACCTTCAAGAACTTTTCCTTTGGTCCCTGATAACGCATGAAACGGGAGTGACCCACTGATGTGTCCAAGAGTATCATGCGGGATGAAATTCCTAGGTTTATGATTCAACACACAAGAGTCGGCACGGGCCAGATTACATCTCGGTGCCCCGCCAGCCATCACACGCGCGATTTCAACGTGCGTCTGGTGTGGCAACGTTCGTGGCTTATTCTTCCAAGATGTTGTTTATCGTTGCCGAAGATATTGACGCCGCACAGGCGGAATTTCGAGACGATCAGTCTACCCTTAGTTCGTTGAAAGCTGGGTTTGAGAGGATGGGAAGCCTTATAAACATACAGCTGCTAATCTATTCGAGCTGTAAATGTTTTCGCCCTGAAATATTGCCTAGGCGCTTGGTCGTGAGGCTCAAGGCAGCTGAATGATGGGAAAGAAAGTGAATAGAACATTCCTCGTCAAAAATTGATACTGATACATGCAAAGAAGTCTGTAATTGATGACAATTGTTTGTCTGAAGAAACTAAGGGCTGGTGGTTTATGATCTGATACCACAATCCTCAAAAAGAAGAGAGAAAGGGAATTGGGCGTGTCAGGCTGAAGACCCCCTGGCCAGAGATGACCCTGCTGGCGTGCCAGCATGAGCCCCGAAAGCGCCTCGCGTCTCATACGAGCTGCGGCAAACAGACAAAAACTGGGATGCACATGGCTAACACATGTTGAAGTTAAGCTGGAGGGTGCTTTAATGCAGCAGTCTCTTGTAGCGAGCTCGAAGTGTCCACGTAATCTGAACAAAGCAACCCGACCCTGCGCGGTTGACCACGTCGACATCGGAGGCTGCAAAGGGACGGGTGAGCCCAGAGTGAGCATTTCAATCAGAGGAGCCAGCGAAGCAGCAGGCTCGCTTCTCCAGTCAACCCGAAAGGTTGTCCAGTCTAGACTCCTTGCAATGATTCGGTAGGGCAAGAATAAGATGTGCGAGCTCAACCTGAATTTAGTCCCCGCCCAGAGAAGAGGGGGTAACGGTAGTGGGTGCTTGATTGGTGAACTAGGGAAGGGTAACGTAGGCGGCACAACCCGACGAGTGAGCGTTAAAGCCGCCTTCCCGCGAGAAGAGCCAACAGTCGTGTAAAGATGCTCTGCTTCTTGCTTGACCTGCAGGTTGCCTGCAACTGGCTTGCAGGTAGTCGGCCTCTCCGCAAAGGCTTAGCAAGTCGAGACGAAGACGAAGTCTACCTCTGCGTGTAGGGCAAAACTTGCGCATGGGCTTGCATCTCGGCCCCATCAAGTGGGTTGCCATGGATCGCCATGAACCAAAGGAGAACCGAAGTTTGCGAGGGGAGAGTCGAGCTGCTGGACGGCAACTGCACATTCCCTGACGTCCATGCACCATGTCTGCCAAAGAATGCGTGATGGCCAACGAGGAACTCTGATACAGCCACATCGAAAGTTTGCTGGCCGAAATGCAGGCAAGGTAACAGAGAAGAATGGGGGGAGAAACCTTCTTAGACAATAGCCTGCTCTTACCCGCAAATCACGATGTGGTCCACCACACCCAGCAAGGGTGGATCACCTGGTATACAGCGCCGCGCTATTATATAGACACACGTCAATGATGGTTTAACAATCGCGAACGGCGGAACGTGATAAAGACTTTGTTGAGGAGAAGACTGGGGCTAGCAGGAAAACGGAAAGGATGATTCTAGTTCAAGGCTATTGTAACGGATAGAAAAGACGAAGAAGTAACCAGCAATCGCAGTCTTCAGAAGGTGTGGTCCTGAGCGAGCCTTCACTACCGTGAAGAGGAGAATACTAAGGGGTGGATTTTGGCTCAACGCGGATACAGAGCCGTTCCCGAGGCGGCCCGCTGGAGCAAGGATTGGGAAACCCGGTCCGGGTCGAACCTTAGCAACACTCGACGCCACGGGGCCTGTTTCGTGGAAGGGGTTTAAATGTGCGAGATTTTTTTTTTTATTGGCCAGCCGGCGATTTTAGTCGAGCGTCTTGGCTGGCGGGCATTTGGCCAAGCTGGTAGGTAAGCTATTCATCGGTTCGGTAGTAAGACAGTTGTAAGATGCTCCGTGTTTGCAGCCGCACATCTAGAGCTCCTGACGATTCAGTCGTCATTGAATTGAAGACGGTGAGAAAAGATGGTAGAGCGAAAATGTCGGTGTCTTGGTGTGGGCAAGGAGATGCGCTAGCGTGATTGCGGTTTAGTGTCTTTCTCACAGGACTGAGAGGGAACGACACATGGGTTCATCGAAGGATTCAGCAGCCAGAGGCGCACTACCGTGACAGGCCAGGCGCGCCTATCACAGTTGCAGGGCTCCCAAGGGATTGGGACCCTTGGCTGAGTCCCTGTCCTATCAGAAAATCAACGTGAAGACCCAGCACTCTGCATAGCACGGGCGAGTGGTCTGGGGAACATTGAGGTATGGCGTGTTTGCTGCAAGTCATGATCCTGTAAGGCTGAGGAAGACGCTGGAGCTTCATCAAGTTAGATATTGCGTGGGTTGGCACTCCTTCGAGCACTGCTTGTCGCGGTTTGGCCATGTCAGAAGCCCTGGCCTGACGAGCTGCGTGTACGTGGCAGCCCTCAGATTGCATGCCGAAGACCATGTCTTGCATATGGGGGACGAGCAATCTTTAGATTAAAGGCTTGAGCTACAACGGGGACAAGAACTTGTCGGAGCACTGAGACCTCGAACTCCAAGTTTGGATCCAGACTCCTTGCTTAATGAGGTGGATGCTGGAGAGAAAGGCGCACAAATGTGTGTCAAAATAGTGTCCCAAAGAAAGAACAACCGCCGCCCTAATCCAGTGCCCGAGTGTCCTAAAGTCCCAACAACCCTCCAAGACATGATAAAAGATGTTACTCCAGATTTCGTTTGACTGAGCAGTGCCGAGGATTGAACTTGGGTGTTAAGAGCCATAGCTACGAGCGTAGTAGCTTGACTGGGGAGCAGAAGTTGTTGCATTGGGGGCTGGACGGATTGCCGCAAGAGCGATCTCCGCCGCATCCTCACGGGCTTGTCCAGAATACGCTCCATCGTACCAGAAGCGTGCCGAGTAGGAGACACCATCGACTACCGCGATGCTGGACCAGGCTGTTCGGCCTCCTAAAAAAGAATGAGTGAGGTGCAAATAGTCAATGATATAATTACGATACGATAAAATAAGAGGGGCTAGTAAGGAAGGGCAGGAGGATTACGGGCCGTGTTCGAACCCTGCAATTCACACGAGTGGTCAAGTGTCTTACCTCGACGATCAGAGATATCCTGCCAAGTAGGTTCGGGCAGTCGTTGGATTCTACAGTGTTCTAATGGTGAAGACTTAGTCTGCAGCTCCACTCCATCTACAAGGGATCGTAATGTAGACGTACCTTTGAGCTGTTCCGACCATGGGATTCGAGGTGCAGGTGCAGCCATGATATTGATGTTGCAGGAGTAATGCTTCTAAGATCCAGTGATACTAAAAGGGATGGCGAAACGCAAATAGACAATTGCCCAATAATGGTAGATGCAACGAGAGCCTGGATGTGGGGATAGGGGTTGGCTTCCCTCTGACGGATACTTATAGATCTTCAAGCAGTCACGTTAGGAAGAGGATTGCACTCAAACGGTGATACACAAGAAACGGCAGACGGTCTTGCTTGAACAAGACATGTAGACTTCCGCTGTAGGTGGGCTGGTTGCCGAAAGAGAGAGGGGACGTAATGCCCATAGGCTTTACCGAACTGTGGGAATACGCCATCAAATTCTCGGGCCGGACCAATGCTACAGAGTGCTGCAGACTTACATGTTTGAAGGGACGTAGCGTTGGAACTGATGGGGCTGCGGTGGCGCAAGGAAAGAAGATAACCCTGTGGACAGGGTCACTGGCGCCCGACAAGAGCATGGGAGTGCAGCTGGCAGCCTCGCTGAGGCGATTGCATCCGCCGGGAGAATGAGCCTGTAGCCATGGACGCAGTCAAGGAAAGCAAAGCAAGACTATTAGTTTAAAATCACGATGATGCATGGTGAACTGGCAGCTGCGCCGTTCCGAGTCGATGCTGAGCCTGATGGAGGCCCGGCATTGTCAGATCAGAATACCAGGCCAGAACGAGTCTAGATTGACGGCACCTTGGACGAGGTGGTTTACGGCGGTTGAGAGCGTGCGGATGGGAGCAACGATGTTTCTGCGCGAGCGCGAGTGAGCAGGCTCAGTGAAGACCTCAAGGCGATGTGCCGTCTTGGCTTGCCTCAAAATGGAAAGGCCACGAAGAGCCAGTCGTTCCATGGGCCATTTCCATCACATGGCCCAGATGTGACAATTCGGGTACCTACGTTATGCTCAGTTTGCAGTGTGACAACTAACGCGCGCCGGCATTGTCGTTTGGGGGCCTGAGGAACTAGCGAGGAGTGTCTGCAGGCCTGGTATATGTTCCCACGGCCACGGCGCAAAGTGATTGAAGCCTTCTGCTCGGTCAATGTCAGGGCTGCGAAGTCACTGATTGAGCTCGAACGTATATTCATCATTCGCCCTAGAGTAGCTATATATGCAAACGGAGTGAGGAAATAGAATTGAATGTGGGTGCCAGATGCACCCATGCCATCGTGGCCACATTTTTGCCGATTCAATTCATCTCAAGAGATGCAGCAAACACTTTGTCTCAGTGCGGTGCCATGCAGACCCAAACGCTAACGCCGATGCTTCCCATGCAGATGCTGATGTGACAAGGAAAAAAACCACTCAAACATCGCACCGATAGGGCCCGGCGATGTAGTCTTGACAGCTAGCAAGAACACAGTGGAACCGTATGTACGAAAATCGAATCTAAATTTCCACCATGTTGGGCTGCGCGCCATTGAGACGGGTCTCCCATGATCCAACCATGATCACAAAGGGAGCGAAACTAAGCCCCTATTGACGTCCGGCGTAATGCTGGCGGATGCCTACTTGGGGGCCCACTGCGGCTGGTCCGATGGAACACCTCATCGATCAGACGCTTGGGACCAACGTACTCCATATTCATTTTGAAGGACGCATTCCGCATTAGTGGTATATGCAATTGAGTGCTCTGCTTGGTGTGGAACCGACGCTTGATGCAGTCGTCCACCAGCGCAATGAGTCCAGTTGCAACAACAACACTGTCACGGGTATTAGCCGGGTGTCTTTAAGACACTGGTTTGTACTTACTCGGAGATGTCGGTAGCAGCGTTCAGAAGGCGGTCATCCGTCATACGCATATAGCAAGGCGGAATCCAGCCACCTCTTGCTGCCTCCTCATGAGCCTGGTCGTGGGTCATTTTCACAGGACTGATGTGGGCAAGTGGCTGCTTTTCGTTGTCGGCGCGGACCAGATAGTAGGACACGCTCTCATGGTCGCCATTCTTCTTCACTACTCGCTTCCAGGAATATGCGTGGCCCCAGTACTCAAAACCATAGCGTTTGTTGGACTTGGCGCCCCGTCTCTTGACGTCGATGTGAGCGTAGTTTGAGAATTCGAGCTTGAGGGTGTTGGTAGGCAGCAACGCACGGCCTTTGGCATAGCCCGCCGACTTGGGGCGCGAGTCATGCTCGTCTTCTGCGCCGGCCATCGACTCATAGCCTGAATCAGAGCGCTTGAGGCCTGCGGCGGTCGAAGGTCGGGAGTCGGGTTTGTGCCGGAGGCTTGCGAGCGCGGTGCTAGCCCTCTGTAGTACCGGCCGCTTCTCCGAGGGCAGCTTCTGGTACTTGCGAATCGAGTGGCAGACCTCGCGACCAGACTCCCGACAGTAGCGGCGCAGGGAGAACTCGCGGGTGCGTAGGTCGTGCATGCGGAGGTGGAAGAGAGTGCAATTCTGTTTCTTGTGGCGCATCTCGACTTGGGTGTCGACGCGTAGGTTCATGTTCCCGTCGATTGTGGAGTCGTCGTGACGGATCGAGATGCGCTTAGTGGTAGGGAAGAGGTCGGCAAAGTCGCAGGGGGTCGTGGGAATGGCGTCGACGGGGAACACGTCGTGAGCGTACTGGGGCACGTCGTACTCGGGCACGTCGTCGAAGTCGTCGGCCAGGTCTTCTTCGGAGGTTGAGGCGTACGTGTCGACCGAGGCACGGGCGGTCGAAGATGCAGGAGGATCGTAGTCGAAGTATTCCTGGCCGCGGCCTTCGACGCGGCCATAGCACGTCTCATGCTGGGGGAGCGGCGGGCGGAAGCTGTATTCGGTGGGTTCAGTCTCGGAGGAGCGGTCACTGTCGCTGCGGGCAGACGCCGTGGTGCTGCTGTTGCTGGACTCGTGCTGTCGCCAGTTGTTGCGCGACATGGCGGGAGTGAAAGGGCGACAACGGCCGGAGCGGGGGAAACTAAAAGAATACCGCAGCAGGATTCAGTGGGCGGCTAGCGCAGCGGAGGCATGTATAATTAAATGTATCGTGGGCGCGCAAATATATTTTGCAGCAACGTCCGAGATTTAGGCTGAGAGCTTGGAGCGTGCAGTCGTCGAGTCGTGGAGAATGGTCGTGGGCTCACACGAGGCAGGTGTGAGGATCAAATAGCGATGGGCGAAGAATTCACAGTAAAAACTGTGCCATGGACGGCTGCGCATTGGTGCAGCGGGCGTGGGATAAAGGCATTTATTTGCTGTTGGTATTGGGGGTGGGATTGGACTGGAGGGCCGTTCGGCACAGTGCAAAGCGGTAGGCTCCATGTCAGGACCCAGCTGGAGGAAGCGTGATTCACCGCGCGGACCCCGATTGCTGGCTGACCACATCCTCGTGAGATACTCACTCGACTGTGCTTGGCGTGCAGAAGCTCAGCGCGACGAGCGCGAATCAGCCGCCGCTGACCCCCCCTCTCTCTCGCCACCGCCTGCTTCTGGCTGCCTCTGGCTGCCGCAGTTCCTCGTCCTTCTCTGCAGCGCCATTTTGAGGCTTTGGCGGGGAAGACGACTTCGGTGAGCCGTGGCGCCTCGAAATAGCAGCAGCCAGCAGCAGCGACCGGAGAAGGATACACAGACGACTGCGACAGCAACCGCAACAACGACTCTTCAGTCCGGTACCCCACGGCCACACAATCACGCTAGCGGGACGGCGTTCTATGGCTTTCGCATTGGCGTCCGTCCGCTGTGGTCGACCAGCCATCCCACGTGCCATCCATCCTTTTTAACACTAGTGCATGTTCTCAAGCATCTGCTGATGGGGAGAGCACTGATGAGCAGCTGCGGCCTTCACTGCTCTGAACGCTCCTTTTCTTCCTACGTCACACGTCATACGTTGCATTCTTCTCTGCCCAAAGACTGCAACTCACTCCTGCACCCGTGTCGCCATTGTGCTTCAGCACTGGTTTGCACCAAGAGTCACGTTACCCTGCCAGCAACAGTTTCGTATATTTCAGGGCGCCGAATCCTTCGCGAAGGCTGCATCAGCCGTTGAACTGCGGCGAGTGTTGGCACCGCCTCCACTTTCGCTCCCCGATTGAACCACAGCTGACACGAAAGAGCTTGTCGAACTGGCAGCTTTTGTAATGTGCACGCTCCATAGGAAAGGAGGTAACTTTGGAACTTCCAAGGATTGGAATTGATCAAATCCACGTGATCACTTCTTACACTCCCCTCCTTCCTCACCCTTCAGGATGTGGAGACCACAGAGGGAGCCATCATCTTTATTACCTCTCTCACGTTGTTTCTTATTGTTTTGGCTCCTCAGCCCGTTCCCTTACCTTCTTCGCCCACTACTCCGACTCTGGCCCAATCAGAGGAGAGTACGTGTTGACTTCAGATTTCACGCACAGCAGTTTCTGCACCTGTTATCCTGTTAGACCAACACTCTCTGAACACGTTCGGCGGTTGGTATGGATACTCTACGTACACGAAATGCGTTCCGCCTCGCTTTCCCGATCCTCCAGAAGAATAAATGAACCGTGTCAGAGGGCGTTCTTCTGCGTCATCCTTCCCTGCTTTCAGCATGGGACCGTGTTCACCCAGCAAGCCCACTGATTTAGAGAGGGAGCAGCGGGAGACACTGGACGATGACTTTCCGAGAGCGCCTGGCGTTCCTTCCTGCCGGGTACGCCCATCACTGTACCACTCCACGCTGATTGCTTGATATCGACCATACATCGCTCGACGATAGCTCTGCGTACTATTTTCTGCGGAGACCAGTCATAAGTGTCTTGGTTACTTGATAGGAATCTGTCAGATCCAGTCCTGACCCCAGCGCCCGGGCAACCGACGCCTTCTCCACTCTCAAAGGCGATGCTCTCAATCGCCTCTCTTCGACATGACTCTTCTCTCATGTTCCACTAAATCGCCCTTGAGCATCCATCAGGGAGATCATTAGCTCCTCTTCAAGGAAATCTTAGGGCGCTTACCCCTACTCTTTCAAACACCCTTTTGAAACTCCACAGATGGTGTCCTCAAAAAGCTGTTCCGCGCATCTGCCTAGTGGAAAGTCTCCCTCCTACCCGCTTCACTCACGCGCAACTATGCCACTTCACTTCTTCTCATCACGAGACCTATTAGACTCGCTTCCTAAGTCCTTCGAGCCCTCACTTTCCTGTCGGCCAACCTAGTTAATCTCTACGCGAGAGCCGGGTTGGTCATTGCCTGAAGGCTCCGCTCTGTATATCTAGTTGTCTAGCCTCACTCTAGTTTGAAGCGGCATCGGCATTTGAGTGCGGTAAAGTCCGCCCGGTAATTATTATGAATTGACAATAGAAGACATAAGTCCCCTCTCCAAACTCTGGATTTACAGTGTACATAGTTGCGTTCAGGAATCCCAGGAGCAAGGATTTGCACTGACTGTCGCAGTTTCAGAGCGAGGTATTCTAAGCTAGATGCAACTTGAGTGTCGACTATAATCTTTGCTTAATATTAAGGCGGTAAGTGTCTCCGCAGAGCGAGCAGGCCAGGAAGGGAAAGGCCGCAGCTTTAGCAACTTTGGCAACACTACAGTCTTGCACTAAAATATTGACGACCACCTTCTAAGGAGACACTAAGGTCCTGGACACCCTAATGCGCAAGCACTAGGAAGAGTGTTAAATTAGATTCGGTTTAAACTACTAGGATTGGAAGCCTCTGCAACACATTAGCTTCTTTCTACCTACTTCTGGACCTACTTGATCTAATCAAATCCCCCACATTCTACTGTGTTAGACTCACGAACCTACAGCCAAAGTCTACTTGGGTTACCTGCCTTGCTATGAATAGCCGCACTTCGATAACCTAATAATTGTTTCTTACGTTCGCCACAACTCGCCATCTAATAAACGCTCATCATTGTCTCCCACGGACGCAATTATGCATTGCGTTTTCACCCGAGATATCCCGCCTTAGCGATTCACGACACGGAAATGGATCGGAGGGTTAAAGCGTGGGTATTTTCGTCACTCAACATCAAGTGGCGCCACTGGCGTTGAGGGTGGTTAACTGTGCAGACACGCACTAAGAAAATTTTCTGAAGCTTCCAGACTCGTTCTGGAAGGTTGTTGATGGCGCTAAAGTATTTGATGTGAGCTGTCGAGGACTGCTTCGTTTTCTAATCAGGACAGCATGACAAGACATACGCTAATTTGAGGTCTCAGCGTAAGCGAGGTCAAATTATTTCAGTGTCGTCGCGTGGGCAAGCTTCAGCCCAATGCTGAGAGGGATCTCGGAGTTTGGTGCCGTCTACTGGTTGCCCTTGGGGTCGGGTATCCTGATTTTGGCAGCCCCATCTAGGTAGGCATAATGCGTCTAGGTCTATGTATCCGTTGTCCTCATAGTGCCAATATCTCAAGTTAAAGACTCAGTGAGGTATTGGAGAGCTGATATGATCACGTGCGTGCACGTGGTCGTTTCAACTGCAGATATCGAAGACATCGTGCGCAACAGTCAGTACCTGGGGGTAACACCCGGACCCAACTCATAATAATCGCGAGATACAATCATACAGCCACATTTACCAGCCTAAGATTACATACTCTGATTTTCAGCGCAAAGGCAGGCTGCCAATTTTTGGCCCATTGTAGCATCCCGACCAAGGTCAACCAGTGACCTCCAGAATGCTCATGCATACCCCGGGACATAACCAGGATTGATTCATACACTAACTCTCTTACTAAAACGGAGGAGGGCACAGATAAAGCTCATTTCTGTTATTAATAGGATCTTAGAATATTCAATCTGTAGCTTTGCAGGGGGGCATAGGTTATCAAATAAGAGACGTATTCTGGACTGAGGGTTCGAGAAGCTTTGTGGTTTATATAGAAGGATGGGAGGCCAAGCCCCAAGGTTGATTAGGCAGGCCATTGTAAAGTTCCGGGCAGCATTCGTGACTTGCGTGACATCTCAAAAGGATCAGGCTCGGCGATGAGAAGCAAGCTCAACTTATTCAAGGGTCGCCCGGTCAGGGTACCAACCTTCCTCCTGAGGTTGAGCATTCACATTAGACGACCGATGTCGAGCTCATTTTGCGTGAGAGATTGTTGAAGCCATTGGCGTTGACCCCAACCAAACAATGGCATCGCCTTGATGTTAGGGATTTTGGTGAGAGGCTCTTGAAATGCCGGCTACCCAACCTCCAGCCATCGCTCCCGGCGGTATGTCTCTGGATCTGAATGCCTGGCTGGGTTTAGGACGAATACCCAGTCTAGAGGAAGGATTCGAGTCTCCAATCCCCACTTCTATCCTAGGCCCAGCGTACTGCCAGACACCGGTAGTAGAGATTGTAACACTACGCTTAGTTACAAGCTGTGATTAGTTACATGCTACAGTTAAATGTTGTTGTTATACGTCTATTACCTGTCTAATACTACTTTGCTAAGCATTATGCTGCAACTATTCTTTAAACTAAACAACCTACCTTAATGCACTAACTATTACTCTAAGCAAGCTTTGCTTTTACAGATTATTTATAAACTGTTGTAGTATTTTACCTTTTATAGCTACTTAATGTAGGTTATTTTACTCTTTTAAAAAAAGTATATAGGCGCTAAGCTAAAAACTTTATATAAAATTAAATTACTAATATTATAAAAATAAAGGTTTTACTATGCTTCAAAGTAGCTAATAATACTATAATTACTTCTAGTAATATCTAAGAAAAGTTTTAAAGCGCTAGATTAGTTTTTTTTTAACTTATAATAAGTTATAATAAGCTCTATTAGTTATAAACTCTAAGTAATACTTTAAAACTTAAGTTATAATTAATACTTATAAATATAAAATTTTAAAAGTATAAATAGTATACTAACTTGTATAGTTAAAGCATTTAAAAGGGTTTAAAAAGAGTAGCAATAATTATATATAGGCTAGTGTTAGTGTAATAAGAAATTACTAAGCTTTAAGCAGCTAATAAAGCAGCTACATAATATAAATTACATAAAAAAAGTAGATTAAGGTAAAAAAAGCTTTAGTAGTTTAGAAAAGCCTACTCTTAACAGCTCTAAAGAAGTTTAAAGCGCGTAGTAATAGAAAAAAGGCAAAAAAGCAGGTGTAAGCTAAAGTAGGTAAGCTATTCTAAAGGCGCTGCAGATAGTGCAATTAGACTAGGCATAACGCGTAAACATGTAAGTAAGAAGTAGAAGTAGTATCTAAATAATATTCTAGGCTGTACTGTATTATATAGTGCTAGAGCAGGTTGTTATAGGCTATAATAGAGCTTGTTATGGTGTGGTCTTAGTAGAAGTAAGCAACTTAGGTGTGTAAGCAACTCGCTTGTAGTGTACATTTAGTTGCAGCATAATGCTTAGCAAAGTGGTATTAGACAGGTAATAGACGCATAACAACAACATTTAACTGCAGCACGCGACTAATCACAGCCTGCAACCAAGCGTGGCTGATGCTAATCCCCGACACACGGATGTGGCTGGAGGCAGGTGGAACAGACGCAACTAACTATAATTTAAACATGTCTTACACAACGCATGCTAGAGCAAACTGCGTGCAAATTAATATAAAAGTGCACTTATGTCAAGTATACATTTTTTTAAAAAAAGAATGTTAGAAATATATAAAGTTATAGAGAAATAGCGTTACTAGAGTTTATCTAAAGAAATTATAACTAACTAGTGTCACGATTATGCACGAGTAAGGTTATAGAGCTTCGCGGAGGTCTAGTTCAATTACTACGTGAGGTATCATGGTAGGTACAAGACGTTGTGTGAGGAACAGGAAAGTTCAGGAGGAAATTAGCAATTAAATACTCAGCTCAGAAGTCCAAGCGCTTCGGGTATAAATCAAGCCTGTTCCAGGTTCAGTTAGTGTTGAGGCGGTTCGTGCTTAAGTTCATGTCCGTGTCGTGTCGTGTTCGTGTCAGACGTGCACCGATAATACTCCGGTACGCGTCCGATACGGTTATGTCTGGGATCCGGGGAGGATACCGTGACAGTACCCCCCCTCTTATTAGGAAGGGAATCCTTCACATTGGTGGTTCCGGCATCGGGTCGTCTTCGTCGGGGTACGGGTTCGGTTCGGATGGGTATCGGGCGTGGAATCGGGTTACCGCAGAGTTCTCTCACAGGGCTTCTGCGGGTTCCCACGACAGTTCGTCGTATCCGGTCCATTTCGTAAGGTATTCGTAGGTACGTTTCTTCTTGTTAAACCAGATCTGTTCAACGTCTTCCACAACGTATTCTAGTTCGTCGTTTATAATGACAGGTTCAGGTGGCGGGTTCAGCTGTCCAGGTAGATAGTCGGATTCGGGGGCTGCTCGGCGCAGCAACAATACGTGGAACACAGGGTGTATCTTCATGCTGTCAGGTAGGATCAATCAGTAAGCGTGCGATGAGACCATATAGGCCACCGTAAAGGGGCCGAGGTTCTTCCAATCAAGTTTCTTTAATTGTCAGTTTGTTCAGATATTTCTGGCGTCCAGCCAGACCTTCTCGCCAGCTGCATACGCAGGGGCGGGGGTTCAGGATCAGTTCACGTACTCTCGTTGAAGAGCTTGAGCCCATGTGAGCTCTTCACAAACGTATTCAGATATGTTTCAGATCTTGTCAATAAGTCTGTTCGCGTCTGTTACTTGTACAGATTGATAAGTCAGTCAGGGGGTATTCAAAGGTAGTTCAAATCCCATTCAGGGGTGGTATCCGTGGTTTGCTAAGAACGGGGATACTCGCGTCGATTCAGATGTTGTGTTATTGGCTTCGAACTGTGCCGTAGCCAACCATTTTACCCAGTCGTCCTGCTGGTAGTTTGTGTACGCTCGTAGGACTTGTTCCATTACAGCGTTCGCGTTCTCAGTCTGGCCGTCAGTCTCTGGGTGAAAAGCCGTAGATAGATGGGGGACGATTCGGAGCTGTTTACAGAGTTCGTCCCAGAAGGCTGAGACAAACTGCGTACCTCTGTCTGATATGATCGTGTCAGGCAGGCCATGGTGAACCCATACGTATCGGTAGAATAACTGGGCCATATCGGGGGCAGTTATGGAGGAACATGGTATTAGGTGTCGATACTTAGTCAAGCGATCGACAACTACCATGATATTCGTGTACCCTTCGGATAGGGGTAGGTCTACGACGAAATCGATTGATATGTCTTTCCAAGCTCGTTCAGGGATCGGGAGCGGTTTAAGCAGGCCATTGTACCTTTCTCGAGAGGCCTTTGCTTTACAGCAAGTATAGCAACATAATACGTATCAGCGTACAGTATGGAACATGCGGGGCCAGTAGTACTCTCTCTGTAGTAGGTCGAGAGTCTTTCCTCTGCCTGGGTGTCCTCCAACAGGCGAGTCGTGTACGATTCGGAGTAGTTTAATTCTCAGTTCGTCAGAATCAGGGATTACGAGTCAGTTACAGTAATACAGCTTGCCATTTCAGTTTTCGCAGTCAGCTAGTGTTACCTTCTTTGACCGACCGGCGCCGTTTCAGAGCAGGTCTAAGGTTTCTTGGATAAATTCGTCGTTCGGATACTCGTCAGCAATAATCTAATCAATCGTCCGATCTGTTTCGTTCAGGTTGAGGTCCGAAAATAGCTCGGGTCAGAGCAGAGTTTAGTGTCAGGCCTTTCGCGCTTCTACAAGTATCAGTAGTTCGGGGTTGAAGTGGCGGAGTATCAGGGCTTCAGTAAAGGCTTTCTTCAGCTAGTCAAAGGACTATTAGCAATTCAGGTCAAAGTCGAATCAGACCCCTTTCTTAGTAAGTGCAATCATAGGGCTTACTAGCTGCGAGAAGTTGTCAATAAATCGTCAGTAGAAGTTAGCAAATCCTACAAAGGCTTGAACGTCCTTCACGTCCTTTGGGTATTGCCAATCTAGCACAGTCTGAACCTTAACAGGGTCCATTCGGATGCCATCTGTAGAGATCACATATCCTAAATACGTGACCTTTAATTAGTAGAACTCGCATTTGTCTACGTCAAGTTGCAGACCTGCTTCTTCCATAGCCTTTAGCACCAGGCGTACATGCCGTTTGTGCTCCAAAAGGCTATCGCTGTAGATCAGAATATCGTCAATATACGCAGTGCAGAACACGTCTAGGTAGGGTCAGAGCAAGTCGTTTACAAAATGTTAAAAAGTACTAGGCGCGTTAGCTAAGCCAAAGGGCATCACCAGGTACTCAAATAGTCCATATCAGGTCCAAAACGCTGTTAGCCACTCGTCGCCCTTTGCTATCCTTAGCTTGTTAAAGGCAGCAATAATATCTAACTTTATAAAATACTTTGCTTTGCTTAGTCGGCTCAGGGTTTCCTGTAAGAGGGGAATCAGGTATCAGTTCTTAATAGTAACAGCGTTCAGTCCTCAGTAGTCAACGCAGAATCAGAGCCCACCCCCAGGTTTCTTTACAAATAGTACAGGTGACGCCACTGGTGAGGAGCTAGCTCGAATAAACCCTTTCTCTAGGTTCTCGTCAAGGTATTTTCAGAGCACTTTCAATTCGTTTAGCGACATCCCATACAGTGGCCCATAACCAGGTTGTTTACCAGGCTCAAGGGTTATCTGGTGATCGTACGGACGTCGTATCGGAAGCTTATCGGACTCGTCTCAGGAGAAGACATGCAACAGGTCGTAGTAGTCTCGAGGGACTATCGTCCTCGGGTCAGTGTGTTTTCGGGGAGCTAAAGCTCGGTCTATATCGGAAATCGTGACTGCGTAGATTTCGTGATCCGGTCGTCGAGCTAGGGTCACAAACGGGGCAGGTCCTATGTGGCAGATGTCCATCTGCTGTTCAAGTCCCAGTTCGTGTCCGAATTAGGTAGGTAGAGGTTCCTCAAAGGCTTCCTCTTCTTTAAGTTCAGGCAGTTGTTAAATCATTTTGCGTAGCCCATCTCAGTAAGAGGCCCAGCTTGTTAGCCTTGCTTAGGTAGTTCTTCTTCAGGTTATTAGGGAGTAGGTCTAGAGACCTTCCGTATCAAGTGCTATTCAGGTGTTGTTCAGATGTAAGCGTAAGCATACATCTCAGCATCAGAAAGAGTTAAAGTTTAGAACTTGCTCTTAGTAATTAAAGGCAACCTTGTGCCAATACAGCCATAGTTGTCCTAGGATTAGGTCATGACGTCCCGTGTTTGTTACATAGAGTTTAATCTGCTCCTTGTAGTGTCAGTAGGTAATCATAACAGTTGTGGTACAGGAGATAGAACCTCCTTCAAGTTGTTTTCCATTAAATCCAGTCAGGTAAATCATTCGGGTAAGCAGTGTCAATCAGAGATTCAGTTTGCGCGCCAGTTCTCTGTTAATGTAACCTATGCCGTTCGCTCCTAAGTCAATAAGAGCCCGTATCAGGGCCAATACAGTTCCTTGTCATAAACATACAGGAATATTAACTTAGTACTTCCAGTCGTCAGTAGGGGACTTAGCCCATAGGTCAGCAGAGATCTAGTGTCGAATCAGTCCCGGGGGGCGACTTAGCCCCGGGACAAGCCTTTTTGCAGGCTCCCACTGCTATGGCTGCGGCTACGTCGAGAGTGGCGAGGGGGATCAGGGCTCAAATACAAGTCAGAGCCCTTGCGGGAACAAGATCAGGACAGCGAGGATCTTTAACAAGTACTGGCAGCGCTACTCGCGCGGACTTGAGGAAGGGGAACGGAGCAGTTTCGGGAGATATGACCATGCTTGCCGCACTTAAAACATTAACCTTTCTTCCTGCGATCTTCACGCTCTCTGGAACCAACTGGAGCATAATTCAAATCAATTTCCATCGCGTTAGGGTCCTTATTCGCAACTGCGCTGGTTCAGGGGCGTATCAGGGCTTGTACAGGGAGGAACCTCATGTTATTATCGTAGGTAGCAATTAGGTTCGCATACGCGTTAAGGTCGTTCAGGAGGGGTTCTCCTACCATAGCGCGTTGCAGTTCAGTTGAGAGGGAGTTACGTAGGGCTGCAATTAGACCTATCTCATTCAGGCCTGTATCAGATGCAAGTCAGCAGAACTCAGCAAAGTGTGAGGTAAAGCTTTTCCTTCCTTATCATAGAGTGTTTAGGCAACTTAGGGCCGTTAACTCTTTGTTTAGGTCTCCGTAGGTTGCTTGCAGGAACGCCACAAATTAGTCTAGGTTAACAATATCCTTATCCATCAGTAAGTCAATCAAGGCTGTTACGTCGCAGTCAAGTCAAGAGTGGGCATATAGTAACTGGGAGCGTTCAGAGGGGAATCAGTCTGCGTTTCCTTCAAGTTTGTATCAGAGCTTGCGTAGGAAGAAAGGTAGGTCTTTCCGTTTTCCGTTAAACAGCAGGGGATCAGGGAGTCAGTCAGATTTCATTACCAGGTCAGAGGGGTTACAGGTCGTAGGCGGCGTTAGGCGGGAGGGAGTTAAGCCATCTCCAGACTTCTAGGTAGGCTTTAAGGCTAGTGAGTTCTCAGTTCCTACTACTATGACAGGAGTCAAGGCAGAAACAGACTGCTTAATAGCGCAAAGCTGTTCTTCAAAGTCCTTTCAAAGAGCTTCAAAGCTTGCGACGTGGCGGCTTTCCTGTAGAGCAAGCGCTTCTTAGAAGGCTTCTTAGCTTGCTCTAATAGCTTAGAGTTGTGCAAGTACCAAGCTTATCAGATCAGATTCAGAGGCCATTCTTGGCTAGGGTTTTGACACAACGTAATGTCACGATTATGCACAAGTAAGGTTATAGAGCTTCGCGGAGGTCTAGTTCAATTACTACGTGAGGTATCATGGTAGGTACAAGACATTGTGTGAGGAACAGGAAAGTTCAGGAGGAAATTAGCAATTAAATACTCAGCTCAGAAGTCCAAGCGCTTCGGGTATAAATCAAGCCTGTTCCGGGTTCAGTTAGTGTTAAGGCAGTTCGTGCTTAAGTTCATGTCCGTGTCGTGTCGTGTTCGTGTCGGACGTGCACCAATAATACTCCAGTACGCGTCCAATACGGTTATGTCTGGGATCCGGGGAGGATACCGTGACAACTAGCGTGTCTAAAAGAGGAGATTCTGCTTAACTTTTCATTCTACAAACCTAAATATATTAAGCAGAGCAAGCTCTGCTAATAACTAATTTGTTAGCGCTAGAATATATAAAAAACTTTACTTAATAAGTAGATATATTTCTAAAACTACTAACTAGAATTTTTTTTTAAAATTTTAGAATATATATATACTAGTATAGATACACTAGACTATCTAAGGTTTATAATTAGTAATTATAAACTTTTTAAAAGTTAAGATGATTAGTAAAAGTAAGTTATTTCTATTTTTAAAAATAAGTAGCTGCTTATATAATCTAGAGTTTAAATATTATAGTATAACTATTTATTTAAATACACCTAACTCTATAGTAAAAAATTAGCTAATTCTATCTAGTAGTTCTAGAGACAAATGTGTTAGGGTAACAGCTCGCTTCTAAAGTACGTTATACAGTAATGAATATATTCAAGTATTTACAGAGTATTAGGTTTCTAACTGTTTTTAATGTGCAAACCTATTGCTTCTCGTTATCGTTTATTAGAGTTCCTCTTCAAGCCTCCTTATCATCTGCCCAGTGCAGAAGGTAATAAGCGCAACCCCTCTTGAATAACAAGAAGTCTGTGTCACTCAGGGCCGAGCGTTGAGGGCTGAAATACGGTACTCGAGTCGATATTTGCCCGGGCTTCCTTACCCTAAGTGATGATCATTTGGGAAGCTTGGACGTACATTAGCCGAAGCAAGCCACCAATTGCATCCTCGAAAACATCAACCTGAACATGGGTATAGATGGAGATATTGGTGCCCATAGCAAAAGCCTTGCATGTCGGGCCGATGTCGTCTCATATAAAGACGAGATAATTCCGGTCCTAGAAATTCGAGACTTCTGAATATCCATCAATCAGGACCTGGAATGGCAGACTGTCTGAGCTGACGCCGATGAAGTCTCATTGACAAAACACTTTATTAGATTGACGTCGTCAGGTAGGGGATGTGGAAACTTTTATAAGAAGTACCTACTCGCGTTCAAAATCAACTATCCTTTCACTTGTTGAGCACTAGTTAAGATGCATCACCTAGTGCTCCTCTTCATTCTTACGTATCCTTCCCTCCTCTTTGGCTTCCCTTCTGTGCCATTCAAAAGCTCGAAACGATGGGTTGTCGATTCCACTGGTACGAACTTTACCTACATTGGTGTGAATTGGCCTGGAGCTGCAGATGTCATGATCCCAGAAGGCCTGCAGTATGCCTCAATTAGGTCTATTGTTAGTAAAATCAAAAGTCTTAAGATGAACGTCATTCGCTTGACTTTTGCGATTGAAATGGTCGATGATATCAAAGATAATGGTGGAGACGTGACGATCCAGCAAGCGTTTAGCAAAGCCCTTGGGAGTAAAGGAGACGCTGTGTATCAACAGGTACTAAAAAGCAACCCCCAATTCAACGCTTCTACGACAAGGCTACAAGTAAGGGCTACCCCTCCTACCGTTCTAGGAGAAGCTGAGGCATTCTCTAAAGGTTTTCGATGCGGTTGCAGCCGAATGCGCAAATCAAGGCATCTACGTACACCTCGATAATCACATGTCGAAAGGTGCATGGTGCTGTTCGACGAACGATGGAAATGCTTGGTTCGGGGATACTTACTTTAACGCCGACAAGTGGAAGCGTGGTCTCCAGTACATGGCGGAACATGTGAGTCTGACAGATTTTCCATTATTGCAAGTGCTGACTCGCTGGGATGATAGACTAAGAATTGGTCCAACATGATCTCAATCGGCCTCCGGAACGAGTTTCGGAAGCCAGAAAAAGCTGGATCATCCCAAGCATACAATTGGCAGATATGGTACTCTCAGATGGTTGCAGCCGCAGACCTTGTGAACGCTGCGAACCCAGACATTCTCATCTTCCTATCTGGTCTTGATTTTGATACGACGCTGTCCCCAATCCCGGGTGCGAGTGATCTTGGTGGAGGAAAAAAATTCCAGCGGGCCAGTTTCAAATACGCTGACAAGCTGGTGCTCGAGTTGCACAATTATCAAAACTCGGCAACGAGCTGTGATAGCATGAAAAGCGGGCTCTGGAACAATGGCTTCAAGGCGTTAGATGCCTCCGCGATCAACCAAATGCCAGTTGTCTTGACCGAGTTCGGATACCAACAGACGGATAGCTCATACAATGGGGTATATGCGAGCTGCCTGAGGAAGATCGTTCCAGAATGGGATGCTGGGTGGACTATTTGGGTGCTGGCAGGGAGCTACTATATTAGGTCTGGGACGCAGGACTACGAAGAGACCTGGGGGTTGATGAATCACAAATGGACAGATTGGAGAAGTGCGAACGCCATCAAAGGATTGCAGGAGATGATCGACGCCTCTCTGGGGTAGGGCAGGTGGGCATTGGCAATACTGCCAGGTATTCTGTTGGAGAGACAGATCTACATGCGGGCGAGGAGCGGAAAAGCTTCGAGACACCAGGCTTAGAGTGAGTGCCCGCATTATTTGTCGGTAGATTCCTGAACAAACGCAAGCATTTCAAAGTTTATGGCCACCTTCCGAAGCAGTCCTGAAAGCGGCGACTGAATTTAGTTGCAACCTCAAGCTTCTCTATCTAGTGGGAAAATATCTTATACATAAGTGGGTTTAATTGGAATTTACGTGATAGCATATCGGGGCCAAGCCCCCGCGCCTTCAACCGATCTGAGGCCTTCTTTGGAGTAATGATAACCTCGTCGGAGTGCTTGGAAGTTTCGATCCAGGGATTGTGGAACGAGATTCCAGGGCACTCTTGTTTCAGTTCTGGTCATTGTTTAAAGAAACAAGTGGCACTGAGTCCTATGAAGTACATGTCACCTGAAGTATGCCCGGCTAAACAGGGGGAAATGAGGACGGGGGCGTTCACCGATGGTGTTGATGCTGGAGTTCCTATCTAATATTCGTTCATTTTGGCTTTTGCGAATACATCCAATGCCGGCTTTCAGCGCTGCCAGGCCTGTCTCGACGATGAGGAAATTAATTCTAGTAAGGAGTTAAGACCTAACTAGTCGAGAGTCCAACATGGAGTCGCGAGGCGTCAGCGCGTAAGGTATTGTAGGGGCCAAGTGGGAGATAGTAGTACAAAGAGTGTTGCAGAGAGGTATATGAGATGAAAATCTTCTTTTCTGAGTAGGATAATAGTGTTTTGGGGTGATGTCAATGAAGCAGAGTTAAGGAATTGCCGAAGCCGTCAAGCCTCGAGCCCCCTCCTGTTTCTTCGAATTCTGTCAGCTGAAGGGCTCTACATATACTTTATAATTTTTTAAAGCTTTCTTCCCTTTTTTTACCTTTTATATTTTTGTAACAGTGCGTCGCGCTACATTCTAAACTCTAGTTCTCTCTTCAAGCCTATAGCCTTACCTAAGCTTTAGTAGAGGTATATCTTCTTTTAAAGCAGCACCTTTGCTTCTTTATTTTAATCTATTTAAGTTACACTATCTCTTACTTGTAGTTTAAGTATGCTAATTGTAATAATTTTAAAAACTTTTCTAATTTTATCTATAATAGCTTTAATATTTTAATGTTTATCTTACTATTTCTTAAGCACATCTATAACTATACTTTTATTGTTTGTATAGTTAATTAAGGGGCTATTTAGATTATAGTTATTGTAGATTCTTTTATACTACCTATTTTAGATATTTTTATAAAGCTAAGATAGTCCTTACACGCAATAGGTATATATAGTATTCTATATATAAAATCACCTGCTAGTTAGTTATTTACACTCTGTTAGTTATATTAACGTAGTAGTACAAAGCTCTATTCTTATAGAGTAATTAATTAATAGTAGGTTATAGTTTTATGCCTAATCTTTCTTAGTTAGCTTAGCTAGTTTTTAACTAAAACATAAAGTAGTTTCTTCTAGCACTATATTATAGCTGCTAAAAAGTTTAGTGTATATAGCTAAGCTTAGCCTAGGCTACTAAGCATTCTGTTTTATCCTACGCTTCTAAGCTGCAAGTGGTTAGACTTAAGCTATAGTAGTTAGCTTAAGCTGTGCGTGTTACGCGCCTAAGCTACTAAACTATTAAGTAACACCTAGGTTAAGTAACACCTAGAACAGGCATTTCTAAGAAGAATAATGTAAGGCTAAAATAGTTCTTATACACAACAAGTATATATACTATTTTATATATAGAATTAGCTATTTGTTAATTATTTACACCTTTTTAGTTGTATTAGCGTAGTAGTATAAAGCTTTATTCTTATATTTTTATTCTAACCTAGTTTACTTATAATTTTAGTTCTATTCTAAAATGTATGTATTCTAGCAGGCTGTTTTTTATATTTTAAAGTAGCAAGTCTATTACCTTCTCTTCCTCTTCTATAGAATCTAGTTACTTAATTAGCGTGTCTACTACTTGTTTTAAGGGTTTTTTATAATAGTAAATTTTAAATTTAAATTTAGCTAGCTTTTTTACTTATTTAACTTACCTTAGGTTTAGTTGTTTAGTTATAGTAACTCTTGTTAGATCTTAGTAGTTTAAGTATACTATAATAAAAAACTTTACTTTTAGTAGGTATACTTAAAGCTGTTTAAATGCTGCTACTATAGCTAACAGCTTTTTATTCTATATGTTATTAACGTACTTTACAGGCGAGTTGCTTACACACGTAAGTCACTTACTTTTGCTAAGACTCTACTACACTACTTTTCCTACACTAATGCATTCTTAACAACACTACTTAGATGTGTTAAAGGAATATTAAATACAGCTTATACTTTAGGCTTTTAAATAAAATATAACACTTTTTAAGTAACACACTACAGCTATTTATAAAGTCTTTTAAAAGATAATAAGTAACTAACACACTAGATAACTATAATAAGGTTAGCACAGTTAACTACGTGGCCTTCTCTTACTTATAGAGGTTTAGGCTAGGCTAGAGACAACTGCTAGTGCTAGTGCTTACCCTAGCATTACCTATATATATATATTATACTATGCGAGAATACTTAGCTTAAGTATTCTTGTGCGTACCTTTTAGTACAGTAGAGAAAGTTGTATAGTATTAACTTAGCAGGCAGAGCGCCTACCTTATTACAATAACTTTTCTAAGCTAATTATATAGCTAACTTATAAAAGCTTTTTATAAAATTTTTATAGTAATTTAAAACTAGTTTAACTTTATAAAGAATATTAAAGCTAAGTATAGTATCTAAAATAATAACATGTACAACTTTAATAAAATAAAGTGTGACAGTGCTGCTTGTCAAGCTCCGCTGCTAGTCACATGATCTCGCTAAGGGTTAAGCGAGCGCGCTAGCGCCTTGGCGCTGCGCAAGCTTTTCTCTCGCGAAAACCCTTCGCCTCCTTCACTCCCCATCCTAGTTTAGCTGAAATAGAGCCGACCTACTCTACCTTGCTTCCCTAACTCTATACAGTAGTAAAGACAGTGCTTGTCCTTACATTAAACTAGAATTAATCCTATTTTAGCTAGAGGACAGCAATATAATATTAGGGTTAAACTAAGTAATTAGCCTATGTGCTTAATTTGCTAACAACTACCTACTAAGTAATTAGCCTATAAGCTTAATTTGCTAACAACTATCTACTAAGTAATTAGCCTGTAAGCTTAATTTGCTAATAACTACTATAAAACCCTAGTTAAGCTAGGTACTCTAACGTCTCTTAAAGAGCTCTATGCTAAGTAAGACGCTGCAGCTAAATTAACTATAGAGAAGGGCCTACATTACCTGTATAATAGAAGAGAGCTTAGAGCTCTATTATACTAATTACTCTAGAAGAGATTACCCTACTAGATCCTCTGCTACATAATTAGAAGCCCTAAGGTAGCAGGCATCTTACAGGCCTAGAGACAGCAGGCCTACTAACTAATTAGCTGCACTGCTAGTAGCACTACTACCCTATCTGCTTTACTCTTTTAAGACCTAAAGCAGCATTATTAATTAATTAGCTGCACTGCTAGCAGCATTACTAACTAATACTAGCATAAGGAAACTCTTAAAGCTTAAGATGTAGGTAGACTCTACTACCCTACTAACTAGCAAAGAGCATACACTAGCACCTAGGACACTTAAGAGTAGCGCTAAAGTTTATAGCAAAGAGGTGTTTAGAGAGGACTACATAATTAAAAAACTTTATAAATAAGCTTAGTAAAATAAAAAGCTAATAGTAGTTAAGACTAAAAAAGTCTTATAAAGTAATAATATACATAAGCTTTATAACCTTACTATTACCCTACTTATGCTTATAACTAGCAAGAAAGTAGTCTTTATAAATAAGCTAGTCTAATATATTGTTAAAACATAGACCTTCTGTAACTATACTAACACGCTAGTAAAGGCGCTTAATAAGGCAAAAAAAGAAACTACTAGAGGCTTAGAAACAGGTAGCTATATCTTAAAAGCTGCTAAATAAGGCCTTAGGAAAGCTAGCTAACTAAAGCATTAAAGCTACTACTTTAAAAGACTTACTTAAGATAGCATCTGTAAACACTTCTTACTTATACTTTTTAAAATAAATAAGTAGTGCACTTATAGTAGCACTAACTATAAGCACTTTAAGAAAGTAGCTATGCTTTAAACTTATAACTCTAGCTATACTAAACACTACATAGTTTACTGTATAAAGCTAGAAAAAAAGCTTATAATACTCTACTAAAGTAGTAAACCTACTTATATTTATAAGTAATAATAACTATAACATTAAGCATTAAAAAGACTTACTAGTAGGTAAGCTACTATATAACACTAACTACTTTATTCTCTTAAATAGTAACTTAGAGAACTATAAAAATATGTAAGTGCACTACACTAAATTAAAAATAAGTAAAAGAGCTTTAAGCTACTTATAACTACACTTTAAAGTAATAAAGAAACATAACTAGTAGGTAATAGCTACTAGCATTATTAAATTTTTAAAGAAAGCTTTTACTAACACCTACTAGTAATTTAAATCTAAAGCTAAGCTTTACTAGCTTAAGATAAAGTTATTCTAAAACTTTAAAAACTTTAGAGCTTGGTTTACTTAACTAGTAAATAAAGCTAAGCTGCTGCTAGACTAATAAAAGAATAAGATCTATAATGCCTTTTTAAGCTTACTACCTATACACATAGAGATTTACTACTATAACTCTATAATAAGCTTCTTTAACTACTACTACTAGGCCTAATAGATTATGTTTTCTCTATAGAAGGTAGCTGTAGAGACTAGTGCTTAGCGCGCGTAAAGAAGTCTAGAGAAGCCTACCTATAAAAGCATTCTGCAACTATAAGTTACTACTTTACTAGTGTAAGTTATAACTTTACTACTAACACTAATAGCTAAAAAATAATATTATATGCTATTACTATTATAAGCTAGAACACTTTAGCTATAACTACT